CTTTCTCTCTGGTTTCCAGGGTGTCTAGTTAACCACCTGGAGACTGGGAGCCGCTGGAAATAAACACCAGGCTCAGAAGCTTTGCTGCTTCAAGCACCTTTGCAACGCTCCCTGCTTTGCCTCCCAGATTCTTTTTTTGCATTTATTTTTTTTTAATTTTATTTTTTTTCAAAATTTTTTTTTTGCCATAGTTTCATTGATAAATAGCAATGAGACAGTTTCAAATCAAATCGGTAGGACAGTTTCAATAATTAACACACTACATACATTCTTCTTAGTAGTTAATTGCTGTACAAGATGCGGGCTTGATATCCTATTTACAAACACCATTAGAACAAATCATTCTACTCATTAACAGAATGTAACTATATATCTATCCTAACCACTTTGAATACACAGATACAAAATGGACATTCATCTGTATACCCTTTTTTTGTTAAGTTCCGTTATTTGAATATTATAGGTGTGTAAACTCAGCAAAATATTCTAAAAGAGTCCAATAGCCCATAATAGTATTGGGTCTTCTGCTTAACTGGCAATGTCAGAAATTGTTGACCTGAGTCCCCTACAGCTCAGCATAACAGCATGGCTTTATTTCTTATATTTTGTTTTTATACTTTTCTTCTGGATGGTTAATGCCTCCCAGATTCTAAGGTCTCTACCACTTCCTTGTGTCCAGGAACAAGACTCTGGGGTTCTCCTGGGTTTAGACAGACAAATGTTTTGTATTTTTAAAATATGACCTATATCTGTCAGGCAGTGGGGAGGGAAGGAAGGAAGAGTTGGAACAAGTAACTAAGGAGCGGAGTAAGATTGCTACTGTCTTTGGTTCCATTCAGTCAGCCTGCTCTCTTCCCGTTTGCATCTTTTGCTTTGCAAAAATGACAGCCTTGTTGCCACCCCACTCCCCGCAGTGGCCCTAGGCGAGTGCAGATGTGAGCCTCTGGCTGCCTGCCGACCTACGCAGAGCCTCTCTTCTCCCTCATGAGGTCATCTCCTCTCCACGCCAGCCTCTCCCATTGCTCCATGGTGGAACTTGGCTTTCTCTTGCATAGTTCTGACGTGATGCAGATGGCCTTGTAGTGAAGTTCTGGAGCAATCTACCCAATCCTGTCCAGGGCATTTACAGCAGAGGAGAAAACTGTTCTGCTGAAAGAAACACTTTGCTGTTACATTTTGCTGAAGGAGATGGGGAGAGAGAGGGTCAATAGCTGGTGGCCAGGAGAAAAATTAATTTTTGGTAGTTTTCCAAGGTTATTTGTGTTTAATTTTTCTGAGTAGAGGATAATCTTTGTGTTAAAGAACAATGAGACTTTGCCTTTTGCAGGATTTCTTTTCATATTTTAAAGGAGGCAGCACAGACCTTTATATCTACATTTCCTAGAAAACCAGAGAGAATTTAAAGTGTTGGGTGGAATGTCTGTCCCAGTCTGCAGGTTTTTTTTTTTTTTTTTTTTTTTTTTTTTTTAAGCAAATAGCTGTGACACAGTTGTAGAGGGTGGGTTTCCTTTGTCCCCGACCTTTGGAAGTAGGGGATCTGCAGCGACAACCTGCAGCTTTCCTTCTGACCAGTGTACACACTTGTCTTCCTTGGGCCCAGGGAACTGAAACATGAACTCTTGGTTTTCCGAATTTGAATGGGACTGGAATCTCATCATCCCTGGCATAGGAGCAGATAAAGCCATGTCCAAGGGTGCTTCGCCTGATCAATAAAAAAGGAGAAGCTTGATATGTGACCCCCAAGAACCTGGGAAGAAGGGCTTGGATGAAGATAATGAAATACCCTGGAGACTCGCCTGCCACCTACACCTCCTTGGCCAAGGCCTTGGCTGGCCACCCTGGGGCTCAGCCAAGCTTCTAGCAACAAGATCGTGGCAAGGAAGACAGGCTTGGAACTCTTGGCTCAGGGCTCCTTGAAGGCACCAACGTTGTAAGGGAAGACCTTGATTTATCTGTGCCTGAGATCTAGATGTTTGTATAAGCAGCATTTGCAGTGCAAGGCCATGATTGGAGAGGGAATTCTACAGTGGTAGTAGAATTTGACTAGTTACCATTTGACTTAGACTTGTGTTAATGAACAGGTAAATGGAGTTTTAGTCATAAAAGTTACAAAAATACTTTCCCTTTAAAAAACTTTTCATAGTTTTGTCAAATGTAAAGAATAAAAAATAGCTGCTTTCTTATTCTTTTTGAAGAGAGAAGGCCCTTTAGAACAGTTATACATGGGATACCTATCCTGGATACACCTGGGTGTTTTCCTTTTATTCTTTATTTTGGACAGTGCAATGGGAAAATCTGTGCTAGCAAAAGAAAACAAATTATAGGGGATATTGTTTTATTTTAGTTGACGTTCTGAAGGAGTATTTCTTTTTCTAAATAAATGTTACGAGCTAATGCATAGACAAGGCATACATATAAAGCTCTTTAACACCACCGGCAATTTGATTAGTTGAGATGGCCTAAGATAGTTTTGGGTTGTACCACTACTTGGGAAAGGGTTATAAAGTCAGGGATGGTGTAAGAAGCTACAGACACTGGGGAGCTACCGACTTCATTTGACAAGATAAAGGAAAGCATCTCAGATATTAGGAGGATCTGACCTAACATTATAGAGCACGTTCCATCACGGATGAAGGGCATTATTTATAGTGAATGCTGATTCTCAGCACGCCCTTGCGGAGAGCTGCTAATCTACTGTTAGTTGCTTGTTTCTGGTCTGCTTCTTCTTTGTAGAATGCTCTACTGACCTACTCTTGAAGGGACAATGATGTAGTGGAGAGATAAGAAGCCTTCCTACTGGCAGGTCTGTCACAAAGTGGCCCTGGGGAAGTCACAGAAATTCCATGAAATGCCAATGAGAATAGTGAAACGTATCTTGAAACACTTCAGTGAAAGTTCTACCCAAGTGCCCAAAGCACTTTGCTTCTTTCTCTCCCCTCCTACACAGTCATTCTGAATCACGAGAGGTCTTCTGAGGAAAGCCCGTTGTTAAATGAGTGACTGAGAGTGCTGTTTTCTCACTCTAGTTTACTTACATGTTAAATACAAAGTCTGATTCTGGGACTATTGTCTTTTTAATTTTATGTATGTGGTACAAGGTCTCATTATGAAGCTGAACCTTGTAGTGATTCTCCTGTTTCAGCCCCTCAGTGCTGGGATTATAAGTGTGTGCCACCACGCCGCCTTGGTGGCTGACTCAGCGCACCCTGGGGGTGGGGCCAGCGTGGCATGTGGTACTGGGAATGGAAGCCAGGTCTCTGTGCTTGCCTAGGCAGGCACTTTCGCTGCTGAGCTATCTCTGCAGCCCCAATTCTGGGACTATTCTTATGGACATTTAAGGCAGTAACTTTGAATGTTATGAATGGTAATATAATTAATAACTCACTGCAAAACAAATGGATTTCCAAATGATACAATTGGTGGTCTTATTATTTGGTGTAGCAAGGTGACAAATAAAATAGCAGCGGGCAGTACACATTCTGAGAATGGAAATTGCCCTGACAAAATTCCCACCTGTTTACCATTTAAAATCCATGACTGTGGCTGCAGAGATAGCTGGCAGTTTAAGCACCTGCCTGGAAAGCACAAGGCTCTGAGCATGATCCCTGGTAATACACGCCACGCAGGCCCCGGATGCAGTGTGCAGTGCTGACCACCACACCTGTAGTCCCGGCGCTGGGGAGGCTGAGGCGGGAGGATCACCAGGAGTCCGAGTTGCATAGGAAGACCCTCTATCGAGTAAATAAATAAATAAAATTTAAAAAGAACCTCCATGATTGTGCTGAGTGCAATCTAGAAAAGACATGTGCAAGAGACCTTGGAAATACGGATGCATGAGAGCCCAGTTTAAAGGCTGAAAGGGCACGCTTAAAGGCAGCACAACCAAGGAAATCATAGTGAAAACTCACTTTGTCCTGTATTCATTACTGTTTTGAGGTCCAGGATGTGATGCAATTTTTTGAGCAGAGTCTTCAGAGAGAGTAATTATGAGGCTACTTCCATATTTGTGTAAAACAAAAACGCTCACCATCCACTCCAATATTACTGGCGTTGCACTGACACACACCTTAGGCTCATTTTGTTCCGGTTGTACAAAATCGTAAGTGACTTCAAAGGCAAAGCTAAAGTCCTTGTTTTCTGAGGGGCAGAAGCCCTTTGTGTCAACTAGTTGACCCTTTGCTCCTTCAGGTCCTATTGGAAACCTTTTGTGACACAATGCAAGAACTCTTCCATGAGTTGATGCTGTTTACACAGCGGGGGGCGCTGGATTGAAGAGAGAGATTCCACTGAACCCATCATAGACTCGGGTTCTATTTCCTGTCAGCCGGAGAGTGATCGATAGCTTCACAGTCGCGGCTACTCAGAAAAATTATTAAGCGTCTAGCTCTAAGGGACACCGAAGAAGAAGGAAAGGAAGGAGGGAGAAAGCCAGGCTAGATTTATGTGGGGAGGTGCGGATTTGTGGCAGGGGAAGAGGATTCTCTTTGAATCCCACAAGGGTTCGCCCGGGGAAATTTCCTGTGCAGGTCTTTATTACCAAGGTCTTTGTGTGCTGCGGGAGGCCGCCTGGCTCCCTGGCGCGCAGGTTCCCGGAGAGGGCAGTGGGGGCAATTCTTACTTCCCTGCAGGGCTCTGCAGTCCCATTTTCTGTGTCTCTTAGATGCTGGCAGGAGCCTTTAGCCTGACACTTCTTCAGCTGGGACAGCCAGGCTCTGGGGAGCGCACGCTGCCTGCTGCCAAGTTCTTGGTTGATTTTACAGAGTTTCGGTGGCTCCTGAACAGAACGGATCTCGCTCAATTGTTCTGCGCCGGCCTGACCCACCAGAGCCTGGGGCTCCTCTACCCCTAACTGCGAGCTGGCGGCGTGGGGGGCGGGGGCGGGGACGGTGGGAGTGCGCGTGAGCGCGGGCGATGTTCCCGAGGGCGCCGCCGCACCGGGCGCGCCGCTGTCCCCAAGCCGATTGGTACTTGTGGTCAGGAGGAGACGGGAGGTGGGAGTGCCGTGAGGGAGGGAGGGAGGCAGGCGGTCCCTGCGTCGGGCGCGGGCTGCTGCCTTTCCGGCCCTGCGCCTGCTCTCCGCGGCCGGGCTCCTAGGAGTGGCTGGAGCCGCGGGGCGCTTCTGGAGCCCGTAAATGAACCCTCCTCCTCTGCCTCCGCCTTCTGCTCCCGAGTCTCCTCCTCGGCGCTGACGGTACAGTGATATAATGATGATGGGTGTCACAACCCGCATTTGAACTTGCAGGCGAGCTGTCCCGAGCCTTTCTGGGGAAGAACTCGCGCAGCAGCAGGCTCAGAGCCTGGGCGCCTGGAGCCGGGAGCCGGGACCCGCGTGCGCCGGCAGCGCATACCGCCTCGTCCTCCGGCGCCGTCCCGCGCTGTGTCCCGGGTCACCGCGCTTCTATGTGACCCGCTCCGGCCACGCTAAGTCCATTCGCACAGCGCTGCGGTGAATTTTTCCTCAAACTGCAAAAAGCCGCCTTTCAAGGTAATCGCGTTTCTTTTGTTCCCCCTTTAAAGGCAAAAAAAGAGAGAGAGGGAAAAAAAAAAAAAAACTTAAAGGGGAAAAATTCGTAAGAATTTTTTAAAAAGGAACGTTGCAATTGCTAGAAGCTTTAATGAAGGCAAGGAAACCGGCGATCGGGCGAAGTTGGGAGGGCGTGTGCGCTTCCACGCAGGTAACTTTACCCAGCTCTTCGGCGAGGACGCGAGGACCACGGCGCTGGGAAGATGCAGACAAAAGAAGCCGGCTGGGTGGGGGCCGGACTAGCGGGACGGGGAAGCGGCGTGTCAACGCCGTCCTGGGAAGTCGTGGGGGGCTGCGCTGCGAGCAGGGGCGGGAGCCCTGGCACCTTCCTGCCGCTGCTGCCGCTGTTAACCGACTTGAGGCAAAGTTTGAATGGGGCCCGCGAGGCTCGCCCACTTGAGGTTCCGCAACCGCGCTGAGCCGGCCACCAGCGCTCGGGCCGCGGGCGTGGTCCGTGCCCCGCGTTCCTGGAAAGCCGCTGCGGGTGGCTCCGTACCGTGCGCCCGGGTGCGCGGCGGGAACCGCGGGAGCGCGCGACTCCTGGGGTGCAGGGCATGCTGCCTCCAGCTGCGCCTCTGGGACTCTCGGGGTTGACACTCGGGGTTCTTTTGTCCTGCGCGCAGAGCTGGTGCTGCGGTGACCGCGCAGGGACGGGGGTGGGGCTGCTGAGACCCGCGGTGGTCTGGGAGGCCGAGGCGGGAAGCTTGCGCTTTAGCAGCAGGGATCTGCAAGGAATTTTTTTCTCCTCACCCTGGAGAAACTTGGGGGCTGCAGCTCGGAGCTGAGTCCGCAAAGCAGCGCCCGGGAGCGATGAAGACAAAGGTGGCTCGGTGACTGGTCGCAGCCGCGCTCGCCCGCCTCGGTCTCCATCGCCGCCCAGCGCGGCTCTCGGCCGCGGCGCAACTTTTCTGGATGGTGTCGGGCGTGTCCAGGGAGTCCTGGAGTCCGGAGCCACTGGGCGTGCGCGCCGCAGAGCGACTCCTGCGCGTCCCGGTCCCCCGCGCGCTCTCGTGTCACCAGTGAGCAAGGGGCAAGCACCGCCCGGTGGAAAAGTCAAGTCGCGGCTTAAAGCATCTACTCTGGGTCCAGCTGCACCCAGGGGCGCCCCGGCCGCACCTTTATGTCCCCGGGTCCCGGTTTTCGCACCTCCGCCGCGGTCCTCCCCGGCGGGGAAGCACGTCTACGGGGGAATCCGCGCCCGGACACCGAGGGAGGAGCGAGCCAGGCGTGCGCTCCTTCGGGTCCGCCTTCAGCCTAGCAGTCTAGCAGCCGGATTTGCGGCGGGCACGGGCGCCCCCTGATGGAGAAATCCCGCCTGGCGGCGGCGGAGGACCCCGCCCCCGCCCCCACGCGTGCCGACCGCGTCCGCGGCGCGGGATCGGGTGGGGGCAGAGCCCGAGGCAGCGGGCGCGTATTTTCCCTCCTGCGCGGGATCGGAAACGGTGCCGAGAGTGTAGGGGTTCAGGGGACAGGAACGTCTCAGGACGCGCTATGCACGTGCAACCCGCATCCCCAAATGAGGAAGTCGGGGTGCGGTGGGGCCGGAACCGGGCTTGGTCGTGGCGCCGGTTGTCTGCGTGGCCAGCGTGTCGCGGTGCGAAGTGGGCGGCAGCCGCGGGCCGCTTCCTGCGGGGCTCCCTTTCCCGCTTCAGAGCAGGCGGCAAACCCTGGGCCTGGCCAAGCTGGGCGCGGCTTCGTCACGCGGGGCGGGGCGGATGCGGGGGGACCCAAGCTTCTTCGGCAGGGCTGCGACCCGACCTCGGAACTCGGGACCGTGGCGGGGAGACGGAGAGGGCGGCGGGGGCTGGGGGAGCGGGAGGCGGGGAGAGGGATGGGCGCGCGCGTAGGAGCGCAGCTCTTGCCAGGCGGGGATGGGCTGGGTCGGTTGGGAACCTCGCAGCGCTCTGCCCTCCGCGCCCGGCTCGCCAGCCGCCACGCGGGCCACCGCCTCGCCCTACTTCTGGCCTGGCCGGGATGAGCGCGACTTCCGGGGCCTAGACCGAGGCGCGGGGCGGGGCCGGGGCGGGGCCTAGGTACGGTGACCCCCGGCCAGCTGAGCACCCAGCTCTCTCACCGCTGGAGCCTAGCTGACCCAGCTCCCATGCAGAGGGCACAAACCGCTCTCCCTGAAAGTCTGCTGAAGTTGAGTGAGGCAGAGAATCCCCTACGTTGCCCAGGCTGGGCTCACGCTTGCAGGCGTCCTGCCTCAGCCTCCCAGAGTGAGGAGGCTTCTGGCATGTGCCACCATTCCTGGTCTTTTTCTTGCTTCTTGTATGAGAAGTATTCAGTTTTTGCATTGAGATGAGGAGGTAAAGATTCACTTGAAGCACTGCCCCTTCCCCCTTTTGGCATAAAAATGGGACCACTTTATCCTGTGCTCCAAGTATTTTAAATATATTTTTAGAATATATTCATTTGTCTAAAGACCATTTTTTTCGTTCATTGCACTGTTGATCATGTCCCACACGGTCTTCAAGAGTTTGTCTCAAATGCCAAAATTTGCCACGCAAAACTGAGGATTCTGTGGGGAAGCGCGCAGGGAAAGGGGTTGCTGGTCTGACTGCTCGCTCCCCTCAGGGCAGCGCAGTCCTTGCTGGGCGGCCTGGCCTAAGGGCAGGGTTGGCACTAACTCAGTGACCCAGCCCCAGAGCTGGTGGGGACCAGAAGCTCTGCTCAAGGGCGGCTCTTCGAGCCTCCTGGCCCTTCTACTGTGGAAGAATTGGATTTCAAGGATCTCCTGAGGCACTTTGAATTCTGCAGCAAATTGACCCACTTTCTTTTTCTGTCTGGTTCCTTCGAAAAGCTGTGACCTAAGTTGTTTCCGAGTACTTCTTGGAGATCGTGGCAAACTCATTGTGAACATATTTATAGGAAGTCCTAATATAGGATGTGGTGAGTTTCATATAAGAATAGGAAAGTACTAATGGGAGGAGACCTTGCTGGAGAAGACAGAGTTGGTTTCCCTTTGGGGAACTGGTAATGTGGAAGAGCGCGCGATGGAGTCAATATTCTCCAAGGGTCCACCTTCTAGTTATAAGCTCTGAGTAAGAAAAGGAATAGATTGCAATTGTTCAGATTGACCCCGCTAATAGGGCGAAGGGCCATTCATTCCTATGCAGTGGCTTCGCCCCCAGGTGGTGGGAGAAGTCTGAGATGCGGCAGAAGAGTAGGATTCAAGGGAAGAGGTCACACTTGTTTTTTTCTTGGTAGATTAAGAAAGTTAAAGTTTGTCCTAAATTATATTTCGTGGCTTCTTCCTTTTTTTTTTTTTTGTAGTGGGAATGGAACTCAGGACCTTGTGCTTGCCAGGCAGGAGCTGTGCTACTGAGCTACATCCTGGGTCCAGTATTTCCTGCTTTTAAAATGAATTGAGAAAAGATTCTACCTAGGGTTATGCATGTTTATGGATAGAGATTTCCACTTTGCTTTTGCAAATGGAAGGTAGATACATCTGTTGTCCAAGATATTTATCTGTATTTAGCCACTAATAAAATCTGTTTGGGGAGGCCCACAGAGCTAATCAGATGAAGATGATCAGTGCTACAGATGGTTTTCTCTTATTTTCTTCTTATGGTTCAAGGCTCAGTGGTTAATGATTGGCCAACTAATTGAGCATGGCAATCTTTGAGGGCCCAAAGTTCAGCTAACTTTGTCTCCCAGGGTCCTAAGAAGAAGCCCCCATTTCCTTGTGGAATTTAAACATTCGGGTTACCTTTAGTGCTGGACTAACATCAAGGGTCACTGTGTTCAACATGGGCCTCAGAGCTCTCAGGAGGAGTGAGTGTTTCTCCAGGCCCATGGTTCTGTAGTGGAAAGTGTGAATGGCAGTGCTAGGCTTCTCTCCCTCCTCCCACCTAGGGAAGGCTATTAGGACGCTTAGGTGGGAGTTGCTTCTTAGGTGGGAGGTGCTTCGCTTTCTGAGGCGAGAGGCTGATGTTGCCGGGCTCCTTGTCTTACTCGACCAGAAAATAGGAAGTCTGCGTGGTATGCACTCTGATTTAGAATCAGAGCAAGGGGAAGGAAGTAGAGATAACTACCTTGGCGAAGCTCCATCAGTGAGGTTTTGCCAATTTCCTTTTCATTCACATAGATGTGCATATGCAGGCGTTTGAGTCACTAAGTTCTTCTTGCTCGGTGTGCTGAGAGTGCTTGTCTTCCAGCCGCTGGTACAAAAGGTCTTGGTTTAGTGAGTTTGCCAGTTATGCTTTCTACAGTCCCTGGATAGACCTCACATCTATGTGCAAGTACAAATGCAGGTGCACAGTTACTTATTTCTCTATTGATGGATAGCCTACTTTGTTCTTCTAAGAATTTTAAGAGATGTTTATGTGTCTAAGGTAAAATTATATATTTTATAATAAACATAATATGTAACAAATTATAACCTTTTGACTGGTTAATTACTGATTTGCTATTTCTTAAGGTTTAGCCTGGCTCCAAGCATGAGACTTGCAGTCAGAAAGCTAGAATTGGACATTCCAGTTGGGACAACCAAGTGAAGACAGGCGTCTGTGTGCTCAGCATCACAATCTAGTATTTATTTATTTGGTACAGGGTCTCACTATGCAGCTCAGACTCTTAGTGATCCTCCTGTTTTCAGCCTCCCCAGTGCCAGGATTACAGGTGTGCACCACCACACCTGGTCTCGGTAGCTGGCATGGCGGGCACGGCACCGGGGATCAAACCTGGGTCCTTGCACTTGCCCAAGCAGGAGCCTAGTCTGTTGAGCTACTTTGCCAGCCCTACGGCATACAGTTTTTTAAAAAAACTGGTTTCGTTGATCAGAAGACAGAGTCCAGAAATAGATACAAATGGCTTGGTCATTCAGTGGAAATAAGGACGATTCCATAAATAATTTTGGGACAGTTGACTAATCCAACTCAAAATAAGAACCGATCTCTACCTCATTTTTCATCCTGAAAGAAAATTACAGTGAATTCAAATGAACTCGAAAGAATGAT